TGGTAACCTGAAACGTAACCCCTTTCCCACTAATTCACAATAAGAAATTCATTTATTGAAAATAATACTGAATAGAGAGAATATGGAATAAAACTAATACTGAATACGGAATAGAAGAGAAGAATAGAAAAACCCCAGGACCATAGATCAGAAAGTCAAATTCTCATTGACTTCATCCTTTCTAGAGCTACCAATATTAGATGTACCTCTGATACTAGCCCGGATACAATTTTTTCCCCACTACTTTTTTCCCACTTTATTGGGGGGGGGCTCTTATAAATCTTATGACAATCAATCATTCAATTGTATTAAGCACACTTGAACATATGGTGTCATCAACATTTCCAAAACATTTTCTTTCTACTTGAGCCTTGATATCAGCTCCTTTTGCCCCCTGCCCCACCCTCCCACCCTTTAGAATATTACTTCATGCTGACGTAATTTTTAAAATGTAAACCAAAAATAATCCCTGAAGTCTTCTTAAATGAAACAATAGTTTAGCTTAACCAGTACAAAATGTCTGTTTGAGCATTATACTTTTTTAAGAACTATCGATATGGGATCAAGGATGACAGAGAAATCTGAGAGGACAGAGGAGATACAACTCAGAAAATGAAAGCGGTAATGGTCGCACAACTTAAGACTATCATCAATATCAATGAATTGTTCAGATGTAGTCAATCATTTACTAAGGGTCCTTCCAGCCATAATTCTTTTTGTGATTTAGTATAAATTTTAGCTTCTATGCTTGTGGTTATAATTCCACTTTCAACAGAGTTCTCTATTACAGGATTAAAGTGGCACATATTCTGAGTACCTCAGTAGAGGCTTCAAAGCAAATCTAGTCTTTGTTTTCTTAGTACTGTAGTCAGTTGGAAGACAAAACCAGAGCACTATCAAAACCATTTCTCTCTATATAAGATCTCTCCAAAATAGGGGGGGGGGAGGGGGAGAGAATCCCAGGACCATTGGAAGAACTACCAGTGAAGTATGTTCAAGTTCTGGTCTGAAATGAAAGAGGGCAAGACCAAAGGCTGGAGCCCAAGGACCATGAGACAGAACAGATGTGCAGTGCTAAGACTAGGGACTGTGAAGCTGAGCAGTGGGGAGGGCTTCCTGGCCCACAGAGACCAAGGAACCATGTGAGTGAAAGGCTGAAGACAAGAGAGTGGCTGCTGGCTGAGGAGAAGTTATGCTTGAACCAATGATCATTTTCTTATTGTTTACTGATCCTGACTTGTGGTAACCTGCCAACCTCCCCAAGTAACACCCCTAATCAAGCGTATTGTCTGTGAGTTTATGTGGAATCCAAGAGATTTTCAAACCCTACAGAAAAGTAGAGCATGGTGAGAGGAACAACTAGGAGTCAGGATAAGGTTAAAAGGGGCAGAGCGAAGAGAGGCATGTTTGACCTCTGCCTCCCGGCAACAGGAAAGCCAAAGGAAGTTAGTTATGGCCTCCCATGCTGTTTACTCAATTCTATGTGTAGAAATTATTGAATTAGTACATATCTTGTTATATACTCGAAGTTTTTTTAAAAAATTAAACAATGGCTTACAGACATTTGACAACAGGCAGCATGTGGATTGCTTTTTGAAAGAAGAGAAAAAATGACATGAGCCCTACAATTGCCCATCTTATTTACATGGAGAAATGTTTCCAATTGGCAGCACAGGAACAGGGAACTTCTGTGGAGCCCTGGAGTTTCCTTGAGTATAGGAGATTGAAGACCATGATGGCTAAAATTCACTTGAAAGTAACAAAAATAGAGTGAAAATTTCATAGTAAGAAAGTGGTCCGAAAAGGACTTCTGGCAAGATGGTGACTGAGTAACACATACCATAGGGACTCTGTACAAATCAGCACAGGAGAGTTACTAAGAGGGAAATTCCACACTGCGGGTCGCAGGAGGAGCATCATAAAGATAAGCAGGCACAGATCCACTAGGATTTGAGGAGCTGGGGGCTTTTGCCTGGCCACAGTGGAAGCTGGCTAGGGTCTAACCTAATCTTAGCCCCACCACAGTGTCGGCCGGAGCCTGATCATTTGGAGCTCATCCAAGGGCTTTATCTCAACACAGTCACAGCTTGCAGTGCCTCTGGCACTGTTTAAACCCCTCCAGCCCCAGTCAGTGATCTGGCTCAGCTATATTGTTACTTTTGTTTCCCTCTCTTCCGCCCC